GATATTACATAATGATAAAAGGATCAATGTAACAAGAAGAGCTAAAGATCCTAAATACATACGCACCCAATACAGGAATACCCAGATATATAAGACTTATAAAGAGACTTAGGCTCCCACACAATAATAGTGGGAGACTTCAACATCAACATTAGACAGATCAATGAGACAGAAAGTTAACATCGATATCCAGGACTTGAACTCAGATCCGGAACAAGTAAACTTAATTAACATTTATAGAACTCTCCACTTTAAATGCACAAAATATACACTCTTGTCAGTACCACATCACACCTATTCACAGGTTTAAATGAAATATTGTTTGACTGCTTGTTAGTTATTTTCTTCCCTCATTTTTAAATTTAATTTTATTTTTTTCTTCATGTCTCTATTATTAAACACAATTACAGGCATACCCATTTTTTGACTGCATTCTATCCCGGGCAATAAAGCAACACCCCTGTTCTCTCTCCCTCTTCCTCTTCCTCTTTCTTCCTCTGCTTCATTCTTTTTTTTTTTTATTCTTTCTCTTTCTTTCTCTCTTTAAAAAAAAACAAAAACAAAAATGAGTCTGGAGCACAAAATAGTGTTAAAAAGTAAGGAAATACTAAAAAAAAGAAACAAAAAAAAAAAACCCGCATTGATGGGCTATGTCAAAGAAACACAAGAACCAACTGAAAGAGCCCCTGATGACCAAGGCTGGGACAGCTTGAGCCACAGAGTAAATAACATTGTATTGGGTCATCACCCAAAGTATGAAATAAATAGCCATGCGTCTGTATGCATATAAATACATGATGAAATAGAACAACACATGGAGAAGAATATGTAAATCTAGCTGCAGAGAATGTATGTACATATCCACTCTCAAGAAGGTGGAACATCAATACAGCAAAACCCCGTTTCTACTAAAAATACAAAAATTAACTGGACACAGTGGCAGGCATCTGTAGCCCCAGCTACTTGGGAGGCTGAGGCATGCAAATCTCTTGAACCCAGGAGGCGGAGGTTGCAGTGAGCCGAGATCACGTCACTGTACTCCAGCCTGGGCGACAGAGCGAGATTCCATCTCAAAAAGAAAAAGAAGGTGGAACGTAACTCTCCACTGCTCAAATGTGGGCTCTGCCCAGTGACCCCTCATATAGAGTACAGTATGAAAAGGGGTAAAAAGATAACTCCGCAGAGAAGAACGCTGACAGCCACGACCTCAGCCAGCTGATCAAGGTCAACATCAGCAGCCATAAATTCTGTTGATGGTGGGTACCCTTGAAATGACATGTTGACAATGGCACTTTACCTATGCGCTCTTCCTTCCCAAGACCCATGTGGGAAGTCAAAAAGTTCCCCTTCAAAGTTTCCTTTCTTGTAAAAGAATAAATCATAAGTGTGCTAATAACTCTGTGTTAAGCCCCATCCTATGTAGCTGTTAGACATGCCATGCTTACAGGCACGTGGTACATTCTATGTCCTTGTACTTTAACCAAGGTATCTGTGCTCACAGGCATGTCCCAGCTTGTAGCTTATGCCCCTTAACTGTTTAAAAAAGTTTTAAGTTGTTAGCCAATCAGGTTTCAGTTTAAATTGTGAAGTCTGGCTCCAACCAACTGAGATCAGACACAGCAGTAAGGACGGCCCCAAATGCGTAAGGGATAGATATGTCTGCTTTCCCTTTGTTCATTGTACTCTTGTGGCCCGATGGCTGGCGAGGGTGCCCTTCCTGCAGTGCTGGAAGTAAAAATTGCTTTGCTGAGAAATCCTTTGTCTCAGTGCTGATTTTTCTTTGAGGCACCGAGCATCTGTTTCCAACAACCCATAATCCCGGTCTAGTCATGAGGAAAACATCAGACAATCCCCAACAGAGGAACATCCTACAAAAGGCCTGACCAGGAATCCACACAACTGTTGCAGAGACCAAAAACAGGGAAAGACTGAGAAACCGTCACGACCAGGTCTAAGGAGATGAAGCCTGAGTGTCAGGGGGGTCCTGGATGGACCCCTGGGACAGGAAGAGGACAGTAGGCAAAAACTAGAGAAGCCTGAATAAATTATGGACTTGGGTGAATAACAATGTGCCAGTATGGGTTAATTAATTGTGACAAATGTGTCAGATGCTAATGAGGGTGTAGGCATTTTCCTGCTAAACCAGCAACCTCAGAGTTTCCAGCGCCGGCCGCAGAAGGAGGCCCTGCATACAGGTAAAGCCAATGCGGGAGACTTTCGAATCTCATGGACCTTTAGACCCTGCTTCACACGGTGGGTATCGCGTTAAAGGGGATGCTGACCCACTTCCAGGCCCTGCAAACAGCCAGCCGTGAGGTGCCAGCGTGCTTTTGAATGTGCACCTAGGCCTCAAAGGAGCTGCCGTGGTTTTCCCTTGGGGACTCTGCCTTGGCAACCTCCAGGAGCGCCTGGAGCGGCCGGGCTGCCCGTCCCAACGTGCAGGCATCACCCTGGAAGTGCGGCCGCCATGGGGGCAGTGGGGGCGGGAGCTCATGCGGGAGAGAGAACACCAAGGATCCACAACAGCCGGCAAAGCAGACAGTGCACGAAACGCGTCGAAATGCCGCACGGCCATCTCCCGCGTGCACAATTGTGCCTCCTTTTAAAAAATATATTTGTTTAAAATTAGCCAGATGTGGTGGTGTGTGCCTGTAATCCCTGCTACTCAGGAGGCTGAGGCAGGAGAACTGCTTGAACCCGGGAGGCAGAAGTTGCAATGAGCTGAGATCAGTCACTGAACTCCAGCCTGGGCCACAGAGTGAGACATTGTCTCAAAAAAAAAAAATTACATATATATATATGTATACACACACACACACACACACACACATACATACATATATATATATACACACACACACATATATATGTGACACTTTGTCTCCAAAAAAAATTACATATATATATATACACACACACACGCATGTATACACACACATATATGCACACACATATATACATACACATACATATATATGTGAGACATATTCTCCAAAAAAAATTACATATATATATA